ATAACTAAAAAATTTAATGTTTCTTCATCCAGAAAGACGAAAATGGTAAAAGAGGTTGAATTACATAAATTTCATTTCATATTTGAACATGAAATTGGAATGAAAATATCGAATGGAACAGCATATATTCCTGTTTCTCATGGATAACCGGATAAGGCACTACTTAATAGGCCAATTCATTAGAGTAGTTTGATTTTCACACGGTATCATATTCTTCATAAAGAAGTGGTCAGGGCGGAAAGTTTGATCCTGGCATCTTATTCTTTAAACAAAAGTTGAATTCCCCTTGTCATATTTGAAGTTCAAATGATTCTTATATAGTAACAACTAACAAGGGGGTGTCATGGATATAGATATTTTTTGGGATAAAATTCTCTATCTAACACCTTTTAGCATAAAAAAAATGAAATAACACTCGGCAAAAAGAAATGGAATAATTGTTTTTATAAACTAAAATTAACGTTAAAAAATAAATTATAGATAAATTAATATGAGACAGTTTATAAAATTTAATTTATCCATAAGTTAATTTTAACTTTTAAAGAAAAACTTTTCATTATCTTTTTTTGTTTCCTCCTCTTCTAAGTGTTTATAAAGAAATTTATCTGATTAAACTTAGTCACTTATCATTAAGTCAGCCAAATTTTATTTTTTAGCTTACTAAACATTTTAGAGATTTAAAAAATTAGATCAAATTATACTTGTGATCTCTCTATTTTTATCAATCCGTAATTTTGGTTTCTCTATTTTAAAATAAAGAGATTTAGTCTTTCTAATTTTAAAACATGAAATTTTGATTCTCACATCAAATTGACATTTAATAATTGTTTCAATTTTCAAGTTTATTTATATTTGAGTGATATGACATTTAGTAACATAAAATTAAAAAATTAAAAAATTAAAAACAAACATGAAAATAAGATATTTATTAATAAAATAAATAACAATGACTCATAAAAATAAATACAAACGAAGATCTTTTGTATGTTATTTTTTATCTCTATATACTATGTTATTAAATATCACATCAATTTAATAATGACAAATCATTAGATAATTTTAAATTTTTGTAATTTAAAAATAGAAAGACTAAATCTCTTTATTATAGAATGGATGAGCCAAAAGTACAAATTTAATTAATCAAAGAAACTATTAAGAAATTAATATTTAATGAGAGAAACGATGAAGATATTTAGTACTCGAATTAAGTCGAGTTTGATTTATCTTAACTTGACTAAATAGTATTTAGTTCATTTGAAGTTTAATTTGAGTTCAACATAATCCTTTTTTTTTTAATTCAAACTCAAATTAGTTCAAACATGTGAACATCACAACTTAGTTTAGCTTGTTAGTTCAAATGCAATAATCCTAAGAGTCAATTTTTTTTTTAATTCTATACATTTCAAAATTTTAATTTATTAGTAAATTTTAGATAAAATAATTATTTTTTTAAGACAAAACAAAAATTTATTTTATTATTTTTGCAATAAAAAAAATTACAACCAAAATATATATAAATAAAAACTAATACACCCTACATAAATAATAGAAAACTTGATCCTAGCTATCTATAAAACCCAAAGGTGCACATTCCATATATTATTATTAATTTGTAATTATGGTTTGAAAGTTTTTATAATTTTAATAACTTGAAATTAAATATAAATTCAATTATATAAATTATATATATTTGTGTGCATGTCAAGTTGATAGATATAATTGTAAATTAATGATTCAAATGAATCGAACAATAAAGAATTTAAGTTCAACTCATTCACTATTCAAACTCAATTTTTAGCTCAAAATTGACTCATTTGGTTCCATGAACCAAACTTAATGAAAAATTTATTGAATTGAGCTTCAAAGTATTTTCAACTTGGTTTGGTTTATTGTCACCTTTAAAATAGCAAATTGAAGAAGAAGCAAAAATCATGTATTTTTTCCCCAACTTTTATAAGTGAATCACCACAGCACCACATCTCGAGTGTGATGTTTATAAGATTATACATCATAAATGGTTTGAAAGTAATTTGTAACTATTGGACATGCGACTTTTTATATCCGATGTTTTGGATATTCTATGTTAATCCTAGACTTATCATAGATCCTAACAAAATAGAATATTCATTATTCTATGATGGGACAACATCCAACATAAAAAGTCTACTTTTTATGGTGGGTGATCAACGGTTGTCATAGTATGAGTACTAAATGTGGTGCTTTAATCACGTTGGCACTCACTTTCTATGTCGAGTGTAACCAAACTTGTCATAGAAAATGCACATTCTATAATGGATGTAACCACTCGACATAAAATGTGCAATATTTTATAACAAGTTTGACTATACCCGTTATAGAAAGTGCCCCATTTCATGATGGTTAAAGTCATGTTCGTCATAAAATGTGTACTTTTTATAATGAGTAAAGTCACACCTGCCATAAAATGTAGAGTTTTTTTTAAAAATTTATTTTATAAAATGACATAAAAAAAAAGTTTTTAAATAGTTCAATATATTATAGGGTTGTCTAGCTTAATACAATTCTATATAATATACAATATCTCTCAAATTAAAAATCAAACAACTTTCTATAATATATAAAATAATATCCAATCATAAATATTATAAAAACTTTGTAAACAATTATTGTCAAATATGTATATCAATAACTATAACAATTATTGTCAAATAATAAATAAAAATAATTATACATCAAGTTAAAGTAAATAATTACTTTAATGAGGTTAAATATCTATAGTGATATATATATATATATATATATATCATAAAAAATGCATTTTAAAAAAAAATCG